GAGGAGAAAGAGTTTTTCCTGCAACTGAGTTATACTCGCATCCCAAATGGCCATGCCAAATGATTCTTTGGCTACCTGTGTGTTAAAGCTCTCCATATTGGTGGAGAGCTTTAAAAAAACACATATTGGTGGTATTAAAATGTTGTGAATAAACAGATGCCTTCTGATTTTTTTTCTGAATCAGTGTTTATTAAATACAAACGCCAAGATAGAGATTAAATTTACCAACAGTGATACAGCTTACCTTGGACTGCATAGAAAGTGCATTTATGCAGCTACAAAAATGTGGGAGGCTGGAAAAGCCTATATAGCCCTTGTCTATTGTAAAGAAAACACCAGTTAAAGAAAAACAGGGTGTTAAAAGGCACAGTTGAAAGAGAGGAATAAGGAAATAAACATGAATCTTATCAAGATGCAACAGATATTGAACTGATGGAATTAACTAAACCTAAGTATGAATTAAATAAAATCTAGGTTGTGTGTATTCTGCTGAATTAAATCAAGTAAAATCTGGAAATAATAGTACTTTGCCTTCTTTATGGCATCTTAAAAGGCATGTCAAACCAAATAAAGTTGTGACTGTGGTGAAGTTTCAGACTGTTAGTAGGCACACAACAAATTACTCAAGAATGTCAACTGTCCCACAAAGAACTCTGTAATTCAGCAGCCTCTTCTTGCAGAGAGACCCTAGTCCATTTACTGCTGGAAGATTATCATACTATGTTATCAGCTGTGAAAAGAGAAAAGAAGGTTTCAATAAGCTAAAGGAAGCTTCAGTAAAGCAACTGAAACCTCAGGCTGTCACCATAGGAAAATGACAATCAAATGACTTTTTAAACATAAATATCCATAAAGTTAGGAGTAGTGTAGGTTTGAGGTTTTGCATTACTATTTCCAAAGAGAAGCAGAGCTGTTAAATTTCTCTTTCTAAAATGCAATGAAATTTGATTTTGTGTGTAACTGCAGACATCTTGGCTACTGGGGAAGGAGGGAGAGTGTTGCTGTTACTAAGTTGTGTATTTGAATCTTTTTGATCGTTTTTTTATTCTCATTCTTCCAACCCCATAAATTGAGCACCTAGCACTGAGCACCTTGGAGATATTTCTTGCATCTTTACACCTGCATAAGTGATACAGAGGAGGGGTTCCATTCACTTTCATAATAATAATTACTGTTACATGTACACACAGAGATATATGCACACATATTTTAGGGGCTAGCTCTTACTAAAGCTAGGTGTAAATTCATGGGCTTTTTGGATTTGGGCTGTCAAGGGAACCAAAGAATCATCCTCTCCATCCCCTTACCACTGCTAGAGATAAAGATTTTTAAGAAATTGTTGGAAGTAGCTTTGGAGAAGACTGTTTCCCATGTCAAAACTACCCAGTCTGCGAGTCTTTTTTTCTCCTCTTCTCCTTCCCAAACAAGAACCATGATTTTCCTCCAATGCTTCTTGCACTGTTTTAAGCACCTACCGTTGTCCCAGTTTTATGTGGGGAAGCATCAATGTAGCTATTGTAAATGGGTGAAAGGAGGAGACACAGAAATGATGAATCTTGGAGCACTCCATTTAGTCTGAGCATAAGCTGTGATATGATTAAGAGTATCAATGTTCTGCTCTTGCAGAGCTCCTACTTATGAAGCAGCTTTGTAAATGCTCAGTAAACATGAGAGGCTTTACAGATCCAGGCATATCCTGCAACCATAGCTCTGGTGATGTCTTTCAAAATGCGCCTTGTTCTTCTTGTGGCAGCACAGAGGGACAGACCCCTGGGCACAAGGCTGCGAGTGTGATGCTGCACAAAACGTTTCAGTTCACTTTTGTAGGATGTTCTATGGTTTTAATTGCAATGTAGTTTTTGGACCCTTACTCAAGTAATTCTCTTGTAGTAGCAAAACCCATTTGGTACAGGTTTTATTCTATGTTTGCTCTGACAGAAGAAATAGCTCATGGTAGGTTAGCTTAAAATTACCACAGTGATTTGCAAGGGTAATAGGGCTGTTAGAGATGTGCATAGAATTGCATCTGTTGCCACGGAGTTGAACTTTGAGTAGTGACTCTCACTTGAGTTGGGTACCTACCTTGCATACTTCTGATGTCGTTATTCCATCGGTACTATAAATCCAGTGGTACCTTGTGTAATGTGTAATGAGTTGTCCCCTACACAATGATGATGGAATATCACTGTGACTTATAACACTCTTAATATGCAAAATGCTGGCAAATGGATTAGCTTTTTAGTGCTGACCATTGCATCTAAACAATGTACACCCACTACAAAATGTCAGTGCTCTTCCAATGGCAAATGATGAATGGCAGAATTGGAATGAGCTCTCTCATTTATACTGGCCTTAGAAATGCAACATTGATAGCTGTTTTGGAAGGAGGGAAATACTAATGGAAGCAGTAAGTTGGAGGGGAAAGATAAAGAAAGGATTAACGCAGGTAATGGAGAAGAAAAAGTAATGCAGGTGACTTTAATTAAGTTTAAAACCAGAGACAGTGAAGTTTTAGTACTGCAATTCTCCACCTTGCAGAGATGCTACTGAAGTGGCAGTTCTTTTTAGTGTGGTGGATCCATTCAAGTCTCATTGTCCTTCGTATGTTACAAAACAAGTTTTATGTATTTGAGATTTCTTTTAGGCCTTTTCCTCATTTGTTGTCCTCTGGCTGTGACAAATAGCCTTCTGCCCTTTTGGGGGGCCTGTTTCAGTTGGTCTGCTTTATAGTATTGTGGGCTCATGTCCCCTCTCTTAGCTAGGACTGGATCTTTTTCTGCAGGCAGAGTCTTTGCTCATGGATTTCACAGAAAATTTGTAATTTGTTCAATTCCCTGAGTTTAGTTTTTTTTTAGTATAATACTGCTTTACTATTATTCAGATAGCAGCCAGAAGCATCCAGCTGTGGTCAAGACCTCACTGTACAAACTTAAGTAAGAGGCAAGCCTGCTCCCAATTGCTTGGGGTATAACTGTTTGGACGCTTGCTTAAATTGCAGGGTTAATAGATGCATATTTCTACAGGTTTCAGGCTAGGATGGCAAAGCACATCTCAACCACAAATAAATTTAGCCTCTTTTCCTCTGTGGAAGTTGGAGATTGGTTCTGTGGTAACACTTCCCCCCTCTCTAATTCCCACACATGTACTTGTTACTGACATATATATGACTGTGGTCAATATAGGTGCTTAACTTTTTAAAGAGCCTGTGTAAGTCACTAAGTGCATATTGATTTGAAGCAAATGTAAATTAAAAATAATTTTTACTTGCTAACGTAGTCAAATAAGGAACATTTCTATTGATCTTTGTCCCAAAAGCCCATTATCTGGATTAAGTGTTTTTATTATATGAAATACAGTGCATAGTATATATCATTCTGCATTGATCAGTGTGAAATTGCATGTTTAAGACAAGCACTGTACGAGCGGTTAACAAGTGATTTATTTTTTAAAAGTAAATCCTGCTTTATTTACCCCCCACTTTTACCTGTTCAGCAGCTGTGCTTGTAACTGACCAGGAGGCTGTTGACGCATGTGGATCAACACATTCTTGCTCCTATCATTTCCGTTTTGGCTTCCTTCCCTTTCACCCTGCTCCATCTACACTATGTTCCCTCCCCCTTCTGCCTCCCCGACGTTGTAGAGCTTACCTGTATTTCTGACTCCTTAGCATTGGCAGTTTTTGCCACACTGTGCTCTGCATTGAAAGACTGTTCTCTGTATTAAATAAATACATTGCGGCAATCTCTCATGCCAGGAAGCGATGCTAAGGAAGTGGAGAATTTAGTAGCGCATGTACAGGTGACGGTTATAAAAAGTGTGCTGAATCTACACGCTAGTGCCGCTGTACCGACGGGGGTGCGGGTCGGTGGTCCGCTGCAGCCGAGCTCCCGGGGTGCCGCCGGCGGGGCTGCTCCCCCCCGCCAAACAGGGGCCCCGGCGCTGCCTCCCGGAGGCAGGATGCGGCCGCGGCGCTCCGCTACCAGACTAGCCCTTGCAAGACGGCGACCTCCAGGAATCGCTCTGCCTCTCGCTACCCAAACGCTGACAGTATCTACACGTATCGCCACAGCGGGCCGTGCCTCAGCCCCGCAGCAACTTAATAATCTTGGTAACATCCTGCTCTCGACTCATTTTCTTGGCAATAGTTTTAATTACGTTTCGGGCTCCTGAATGGTTTTCTCTGGATCCTTGGTATATTGAGACGCTTGTCACGTTTGGGTGCCTGCAATCACTGATGCGTTTGTTTTAGGGGATGAATTAGTCTTCTGAGCCTGAGCATGTCCAATTTCTGAATTAGCTTTCATTGAAAGCTAGAACAAAACAAAACAAGCAGCGGTTTTGCTGTGCCACTTTCTTTCTCCCACCCCCTCGTTCCCCGCGGCAGGGTAAAAAATCGCGCGTTTCCATTCGGCTCGTCAAAAGCGGATTCTGGCCCGAGCCCGAGCGTGCGGAAGAAGGGGCAGCTCCCTCCTTCTCCCCCCCAACCCCCCCGCCGCGGTGCCCCCGGCCGCTGAAGTTGGGAGAGCGGCAGTGAGGGCAACCCCGGGCCCCCCGCACTCACCTCCATGTAAGGGGCGGGAGGGAGCCGCACCGACGGTGCAGTGCCGCGCCAGCCTCTCTCCGGGCCGGGCGGGGGCCACGCAATGCCGGGCGCCCTCCGGGCAGGGGCTGCCGCCCCGCGGAAGAGCCTGTGCCCGGCAACCGAGATGCTGGCGAGCCGCCTCGCCTTTTCCTCCGCTCTCTGGGCTGGGAGCATGCTCCCCCCCGGGACATATACACACATTATACATACATATATATAAAAAAGATTATAATTCTGCATACATCTAAATACGTTAACTGCGATTAATTTCGCTGCTCTTGCAGGGCCACCCCGCTTCCCCGCGGAGCTGCGAACTCCCCTCCATGCCGCCCGCCCGAGCAACCCGCTGCCCGATCCCGGCCGCCGCCGCGCCGTGCCCCGGCGGCACCGAGGCTCCGCAGTCACGTGGCTCGGGGGGCGGGCGGCGGCGGCGGCGGGGGGGCCGCTCCGCAGTTCGCGGTCTGCCGGCGCCCCGGCACACACCGAGCGCTGGAAGCTCCGCTGCGCCGTCTGCCAACCCGGGATCTACCTCCGTGCTTTTTTATCCCCGGCTTCTTTTTTCTCTCCCCATCGCCCGTTTTTCTCAGTCTCGGAAAATTCTTGGGGTGCTGGGGGAATTTGGGATTTTCTTTCTAAAAGGGGGTGTCTGGGCATCTCCCCCCCCCCGCACCCGCTGCCTTGCTCCACTTGCCCTTGCGCCTTTTTTCTTCTTTTCCCCTGCCAGTCTCTCCACCAAACCCGGGCTGATGTGCTGTGCAAGAGGCTGGAAATGGAAGTGTTGATGCTCTGGCTTTTCCCCTGGATATTTCAGTGCGTGTCGGTGCGGGCGGACTCCATCATCCACATTGGTAAGAGAGGGAGCGGGGCGGGGGTGGAGAGGGACGCGGTGGCTAAATAAATAAATAAAGGGAGCGTCTCGTTTAACCGCGGGAATGTCACAGGCAGCGGTTCAACCCAACTCTGCGGAGAGACAAGAGGAGGGAAGGGCGACAGGCAGCCGAACCCTTCCCCCCCACCCCCGGTTGTAAAGTTAGGGGCGAAACGGCGGCGGGGGATGGGGGGGTGGGGGTGTTGTGTGCGCCGGGGCGGCCGCTGCGGTCTCCCATGTGGCAGGCGAGCCCGTGCGGGGACCTGTTTGCGGGGAAAGGCTTTCTTCCTCCCCCCGCCGCCCGCCTCCTCCCCACCGAAAACAAACAACCGCCCCCAACACCCCAGCGGGAGGGAGCCATAACCTGAACGTGCTTGTAGGGAAAACTTTCGGGGAGCTTGAGCCCGGGTTCCCAGTCCCGCGTTCCCATCCCCTGCCGTAGCAGGTGTCAGCCGAACCGGAATGCAGGGGGAGGGGGAGGAACGGGGGGACTCGGCTGGGGAACGGTTAGAAAGGAGAGATTTGTAGCGGCTGTATGCGTGCGTGTGTGTCTATGAGCGCAACTGTAGTGGTCTGAATAAGAGATCTCATTACATTAAACCCCTGGGCAGCAAGGAGGCTGGATCAGCAGTGGGAAGAAGAGAGGGATGAATAAGCGGCAAAAGAAAGGCTGATGTGAACTTTTATGGCTTCTGGAAGGCATGGTGCTGTCCGCGGAAAGCCTGGCAAGCAAAAGCGAGTCTCTGCAGTCACCTTTTGGCTGGTGTCGAAAGGTACTAGCAGGAACGAAAATGAGGATGTTTAGGGTCGGAGAGGGGGTAGAGAATCACTTGTGGAGGATGATCGAGGAGAGTACAGATAATCGGGAGTACGGCTGGGAAATGAAAAGCCGTAATTCCCACCGGCCTTTTCGGGAGGATGGCAGATCAAAAAGAGGAGGGGGCAGCGGCGCCAGCGACCCTGGCGAGGGGAGGCTCCGCGGAGACCGGAGGAAAGTCCCGCTGCGACCCGGGGCGGGGAGGGGGAGAAGGGGCCGACCCCGTCCCAAGTTTCCCAGCAGGGGCGGCTCCGGGGCCTGTGGGGTTGGGGGGGGGGGGGGGGATTCTCTCGGCGCCGCTCGCCTCCGGAGCCTGGGGGCGCAGCCAAGGCAGACAGCATTGCGGAGGCATTAAGGAGACGGGGCCAGCCCTGACAGCTGCGGGGAACTCCGGTTCCGGGGCACTCCCAGGGCAGGGCAGACCTGACTCCGGCGGCATCGGGGCCAGCCCCGCGGGAAGGCGGGAGGGGGGGCAGCGAAGGGAAGTCCCTGACCGAGGTCGGGGAATAGCCTCCGCGGCTGTCTTCGGCCACGCTCTCCTGCGAGTGGAGAGGATGAGTTACCTCAGCTTCTCCCCGCACGAACTTCAGCCCGAATGCTGGTGGCGAGCAAACTCCTCGCGGAAATAGCGGTCCAGTGGGCAAGAAAAAGAGAGCTGCTGTGTGCAGGGCCAGATTTCCCATGGGCAGTACATGGAGGCTCCAGCCAAAGGCGCGCGCGGTGTGAATCAGCAGGACTTCTCCAGGCGGGGGGATAACGTTTTTTTGCTTGTTTTGTTGCCAGCACTAAAGAGCTCCCACCGCCACGCAGAGCCGGGCAGTTAAGCCTAGTGTGGGCGTGCATACGCGCTGTAGAGAGCGGATTTTATGTAACACACATCGCCAGATGTTTTCACGTTAACTGCATAAACAGGACAGTGAAATTAAAGCTTCCAGGTTATGGACACAAATCCGGGCTTCATGTTCGTGTGCGCATGCAAGCCTCAATAAAACTGTGCCCGAAAGGCAGCAGCCTAAGGACCCTCAAAGCAGTGAGCAGAAGTTGGTCAAATTCCCAAGACTGCTCCGTTTCCCGTCACTGGCGAGGTGCGTCCCTCACGGCAGCGTGGCTCCGGCTCACGGCTCCTTCGGTGTCGGTGGAGCAGAAGTGACGGGAGGAGGTCTGAGCCTCCCCGTGCTCTGGACGAGCCCGTGCAGACACATGTGTGGGTCCGGGCCCCATAGGCGTCCAGTGCCCCCGCCGAGCCGGCTGGAGCGCTGCATAGTCCGGGTAGGGGAAAGACAAGGGGGTTTCTGTGGCGCCCGAACTCTCCTCACCCTCTGTCGCCTTCCCCTTCTCAGGTGCCATTTTCGAAGGCAATGCTGCCAAGGACGACGAGGTGTTCAAGCAGGCAGTGTCGGATCTGAACCTCAATGACGACATCCTCCAGAGCGAGAAAATCACTTACTCCATCAAGCTCATAGAGGCCAACAACCCCTTCCATGCGGTGCAGGAAGGTGAGCGCCCCGGGCGGCACCCCCCGGTGCGGGCGGGCTGCGCGCAGGGAAGGGACCGGGCTGAGAGAGGATCCCCCCTGCCCGGCCCGTTGACGGGGAGGGAAAAGCCCGGACACGTCCTGGCGCTCGGCTGGAAACTTTTCTTCGGTCGGGGGTTGGCGCTGTCTTACCAGGAAAAGGGACGCGCGGCGCGGTGCCGTGGTAGCGTGCCCAGCCGTGATGCGCAGGGCAGCCCGGGCTAGTGGTGGCAGCCGTGGGAAAGCCGGCATGGCATAGCACGGCGCAGCACGCAAGGCGGGGCGGCCGGTCGGTCCTGGATCCACAAGCGGCCGCTCTCTTCGCCGCTGCGGAGGAAAAGCCGGCCTCCACCGCCGCCCTGGTCCACGCGTATACGCTGCTGGCAGGGAAGACGAGGAGGTCCTGCCGGGGGAGGGATGATGGTTTCATACGGCGGCAAGGGGTCGGGCAGGACGACTCGGTGCTTGCGGGAGGTGACGGGGCACAAGTCGGCATCTCGCCCTGCGCGTCTGCCCCAGAGAGAAGCAGGGTTCGGGCGGCCGGCGGCCGCAGCGCGGCCCTTTGAGAGTGGAGCTCCTCCCGGGTGGCTGGGGAAGAGGGTCAGGTAGCCCAGTAACGCGGGCTGAAAACCCTCACAGAGTTTGCAAGATCTGACAAGTAGCTATGTAGATAAATCACGTCAAATTTTTTTTTTATTCTTTTTTTTTTTTTTTCCCAAAGGAAGACGCTTAAATTAATCAGCTTGCCTTTACAAATAAGACTTATTTGTGATTTAATGAAGCCAAGGTTAATTATGGCCTAGGTAATTTCAGAAGCTGTGTTTTTCAGTAGTAATTATTCTAGAAACAGAGAGCTATTTATATACCTAGACTAGAATATTTTAAAAAATGATTCATCACCAGCCTTACCCTTAGTTCTACAGAGCACAGAATGAATCTTACCCTGTATGAAAATTTGCATTAATCCATATGTATTTATGCCGAGTTGTGTACATGTAAATTATGGCTACAAAATTACACCAAATGTTAATGTTCATGAACTCTGAACAATTTCTTCTGCCTTTTTTTTTTTTCCCTTGGAGTAGGTGCTAGTTAGTATCACATGCACTCAGGAGAAAGAGCAGTATACACGTTTTTAAGGGTCTAATCCTGTTAACAGTAGGATTCCTCCTGATGCTCTGGAAGCTTAGTAAGGCAGTATGGAAAAGCCCTTTATGAAACTGGGAAGAAAGGGATTTTAAAACAAAACTTTACCCACCAGAGGAAAATAAAAATCTCTAAAAATAATAATGTGTTGATTTATTGGCAAAGATTAACTCTGAACAATTGGATACATTTGCAAAGCTCAGTGTCCTATACTGGAGCTTATTCATATTCATGGAAGTGACAGTAGTTGGCTGGCTGAACAATTGCTTTCAACAATGTCTCTTCTCAGCACTAAAACTTTATGAAACTATTCTGAGTGCCCTGTGATCTGACAGTCCTGTTGATGGAGTCCCTTTGCTTAGTTTTGTTGAAAGCAGAAAAGCATGAACTGGAGCATTCTTGACCCACTAGGATTTTATTTATTTTTTCTTTTTTAATTGGTTTATTTGCTAACCTTGAAGATTCATATTGCATTTTTGAAGACTGTTATGAAAACAAAACTTCTCTATTGAAAATCCATGATGGACCCACAGAAAAGACTCTGGTCAGATTTTTAATCTTTTTGATACAAAATCTTTGTGCTGCCTGAGTATATGTAAATAAAGATATTTCTTACTGTCTCTTCCAAGATACTTTTTCTGGGCTCATGTGCCCATTGCAATTAGAATTGCTCTTTGATGAACTGACCCCACACTGGAGAATTCAGGAAGTGGTTGATGGATGTCACAATTCCAAAGAGAACTTGTTCTCTGTCACTGCTTGATTAAGGCATATCAATGTGTCTTCTTTTGGGAGGACTGCAAAATGATCCTATCTGTGAGTAAAAGCTTGCCACAGTGGGAGAGCCAAGATAAGAGTATCAGACTTGCTCAATTTCCTGGCTTCCTTTGTTGGTTCAGGTCAGGTCTTTTTTTTATTTAAGATTTAATTTCCTACTTTTGAAATGGTTATGCAACTTGCTGACAGAATGATCCACAGGATGTACAAGTTACCACATTATTCTTACTGAGCGGAGTCTCTCTGCCCAGTGTTACTTGGTGTCATTCTGACTATTCAAAATCTAATTGTATTGCATTGTACGGATGTCCTTCTCATTTTGGTATAATATTGCTTATAGTAGTCAAAATAACCTGGAGCAAATCTGCTGCCCAGACTGCTTGTAGGATCTTGCTGCTGCTACATAAAATGCCCTGACACCCACATTATTCTTCTGCAGTGAATTGCTAAGCAGCACCATGGAAATCAATGTTACAAGCATTAGTTTCATAGTGATGGAACTTTTTATAGTAAAAACCAATTTGGAGTAAAAATAGACCATTGTGATACTACTGCCAGAATAGTTCACGCAAGCAAACCAATCACAAATATTGTTTTTATTTGAAGTGTCTTTTGCAGAGTCTTGTGAGATGACATGGTAAATTACTCCTTAAGTCCTTGTAAAAGAATGCTGCAAGCAAGGACCTTCATTTCAATGATACTGTGCTAGTAAAGTTATAGAAAGTCATCCTTCCGTGTAACAATGTCTGTTACACAGTAACAAGACTTTAATTACTGATGGAGATAGTCTTTAACATGCATTTATTGTGCAGTTGGAGAACTTCTGCATGGGTAGGAACTATAGGATTTTTTTGGTAGGAGCAATGGATTTGCAAAAGTAAAAGCCAAACAGAAGGTACCTTGCCTTTCATAAATAGTTTTCAGTGCTGGAAGATGCTGGGAAGTGTCATAAGATTTTGAAAACAAGCTTTAGGGACTTTAGAGAGATAAGGGCACTACTGTGATAGTTTCTGATGACTGAAATAGATAAATAAAATGCAGCGATCCTGTTTTTTCAAAGGTGGGCACTCATGTTAATGGTGCCAGAGAGCAGTAATTAACAAAATGTAAATTGTGTTCCATCTTGTCTTTCATTTTAATATACATTGCAGAAACAAGATCCTGTTGTGCTGTGAATTAAAAAGGTTGCTTTGGCCCCATCAAACTCATATTCTATAACAAAGTGTAGCAAGTGGGTGGAAGGAACTTCAGTGGCAAGGGATGTAACAGTAAAGAATCAACAGACCCTAGTGTACACATAAAATAGGACTTTTGTCTGTGCTTGCAAGTAGTCATCACATTTTGTAGAATATTGCTTTTATGTATGCGGGAATTACTTGAAGGAAAAATTGCTTTTTCACTGGCTGTCATGGGAGAAAATATACATGGGGAATCATTGTTCTTTTCATATGGTGTTAAGGAAATGAGCTCAAATCACAGACATGATGTTAAATTATATCTTTGCTTCCAAAAGAGCTATGTGCTCAGTTTCTGTTAAGTGGTTGAAATGTGAGATAATAAGTGCTTGTTTGTGTGTGGTGTGTATTCAGGCTAGTACTGTGGTAACCTTTCTGTGATTCAAGGATTCAAATAAGCTCAAAGATATGAGAAACAATTTAAAGCTTTCAGTTCAAATTGGGATTTTTGAGCCTGCCATTGGTCTTGAAAAGGGACTGTGTGTATGATATATGGGTGGCAAACAAGTTTCTAGCTGGGCTTGAAAACATGATTTTATGTTTAAACTAAAAAACAAATAAAGCTAAAATGTAAGTTTCTAAAATGCTGCTTTTAGAGGTGGAATACTTAGCTATAAGTCAAAACTGGGGCATAGGAAAGCTAATACTCCGAGTGCTCTTTGGAGAAGGGATCCAAAGGAGACAGTTACTTGGAAACTGTGAAACTTTAAAGCCTGGTTTCTCAGTGGATGGTGCTTGCACATCTATGTAGATTTCCTGGAGCTGAAACTTGCTGTTCTCTCTGCATAGCAATTTCAAATGAATTGTTTCTAATTTGGGCAGCCTTGTATGTGTGCTTGTTGATGTTAAAATGCTGTCAGCTCTGGAAACCAGAACAGATTTGGAAAATCAGTATGTGATTTGAGAGCAAGAATGGTGTTCCATAAAAGGGTTTATTGTCAGCATGCTGCTGTGGTTTCAGAGCAACTCAGAGCGGCTGATTTTTTGGATATCTGTGTTGTATACCATTGGGTGAATTTGATCTCTTATCATAGTCAGTAGGACTTGGTAATGATACATACTTGGCGTAGAATAGAGTAGATAGAATAGACTATTTCAGTTGGAAGGGACCTACAATGATCATCTAGTCCAACTGCCTGACCAATTCAAGGCTGACCAAAAATGGAAATGCCTCTTAAAAACTGACAGGCTTGGGGCACTGACCCCCTTCGTAGGAAGCCTGTTCCAGTTTTTGACCCACATGCTTGGTAAAGAAGGGCTTCCTCTCCCCCCCCACCCCTGCACCTCTCCTGGTGAAGCTTTGAACCTTCCCATGCACCGTGTAACTGGATATCGTGGAGGAGAGATCAGCACAGAGTTCTTGACCTGTCTTGGTTCAGCACATATATTTCATGTTACTACAACTGTTGCTTTCTAAGAGTTTTATTTGTTAAGAAGGTGTAAGCTGATCGATGTGTAGATAATGAAGGTGAAATACAGACATGGAAAACAGGACTCAGCAGCTATGTTGCTATTCTTACATTTATTTATCTGGCTAAAATCTCAAGCAAAGCTATGCTTGTCATATGTGCATTGCCCAGTGGCAGGAAACTGCAGAGTGGTGTGACTGTATGCTTGTGTCTGTGCATGTGTCTCACGGTATTTGCACATAGCTCTTTTTGCAAGCCTGGGACTCTTACTTGAGTAGTAGTGCAAGTGTCCCTGACCAGAAAGCCACAGATGGCCCAGAAGCTGTGTCCTGGCAAAATACAGACTTAAGACTTCAGTTAAAAGACTACTTTCTCTGTTTGAGATTTTAGGTGGCTATTAAATATAGAAGGGGACA